GGGGGGGGGGACAGGGATCCCCGTGCGGGTGGGACGGAGACAGCTGCGAGGGGACGCTGGTGTGTGGGCCCAGCCGGGACTGCCTGGTGTGCCTCTCGGGAAACCTGCTGCTCTGGAAAGGGCTTTATTTTCTGGTGGTTTTAACCTAGAGTTTGGTATTTTATTGTGGTCTGCAACACCTTCTCTAGTGTCACCTGAGGGTTTTTTCCCTTTATTGTGCACCAGCATGGGCCTTTCTGCTTCAGGGCTTTACAGGGTGATGCTTGTGAGGCCGCCTGCTCACACAGAGGGTGCTGCACTTGCTCAGCTATTTTAAGCATTTTATGAGTGTTGACTGAAATTCCAACAGTAAGAATCACTGTTTCAGTTTGTCGGTGTGCTGTCCTCGTGTAGCCAAGAAATGATTTCCAGTTCCAACTCATTGTGTGCTGCCTCTTGTTTGTGAAGTTTGATGCTATCGTGGTTATATCTTTTCAACGTCTTCAAGTGCTGATTAGGCTACGGGCGAATTGTGCCATATGTGGTTATATCAGAGCAGGGAGAAGTACTGGGTGTTGCTGTACAGCCAGCATTAGTAGCCCTTCTCTTTTTGAGTGCACCTTAATGTAGGTAGCTGATTCACGAACCTGCTTGATTTGACAGTGTTGGCAGGATGCAGGTGTGCTCTTCCATGTAACAGCTGATGCTCCGATATGGGTGTAATTGCCTAATTAAGGCTAAATATGTGACAGATCTTTTGCCTGCTGATCTCCCCCCCACCCCTCTCTTTTGCAGAGCCTGGATTTCTGGAGGCTGCTCTATACTCTTCTGAAACAAATCCATGGAGGGAAGTGGACCGAGTCTGATGCCATAGGTAACCTAGATAGTCTGGCTGACTCTGTGATTTCTCTGTCCCAGGGAACTACTGGGACTGGTCTTGTAGCATCTTTTCTTTGGCTCCTTGCTCCCTGTTGAAATGCTCCATTTTGAATACCTTAGTTTATGCAGCTCTTACTGTTGCATCACAGGTGTGCAGGCAGGTTTAATCCTCTTTGGCTTGCTCTGTCCAGGAAACTGGGATGTTCTTGTGTCTGGTAGGCACTCTTGCTTCCCTTGGACACTTCACTGCAGGTAAGTCTCTGCAGTGATCTTATGCATTCTCTACATTTGCAGAGGTAATTACAGAAATAGATTTATTTTTCCTTTGATCCCTTCTTTCCCCATTCCAGATATGATGCATGATTCTGTGGTTAATTTTCTATCAAGTCGTATGTCAGGGCTGTGAATCAGTACATGAACTGTAAAGGCAGTGTTTTGGATTGAAGTTCTAGACAAAACAAAAAGCAAAGTGTGTGTGCTTATTTTAGAGGGACCATGAATATATCTGTGAACAGGGCCACTAGTCTGGGGAGAAGCTGGATGGAAGTTGGCTTCTCACATTGACAGAGTACTCTTTACTTATTAAATGCGTGTTATTCCGAGTATGATACTACTACTCAGACTTTTCTCTTGAAAGATATCTATCTGGAGTCCTTTCATTGTTGGAAGTTTTGAGAATGGGATTGTCTGTGATGGATAAAGCTCTCCTCAGACCAAGACCACTTAAAATCCACTTTTGCCCTTGAAAGCAAAAAAAACCCAAAACATTGTTTAAGCCCTTGAAGAGCTGGGAATCTGATGGCTCTGTAAATGGAGTTAAAAAAGGCTAAGCATTGTGGGTGATATCTCACAAGGAACACAGAGCAAAACCAGCATAGTTTTGCCAGTAGCTCAGCGGGAAATCAGCATGGTTCTGTGCTACTCACAGGACTGCTATTTTTCATTTGGCTGTTTTTGCTTTTCCACTCATCCACAATCTGCTGTGTATGGTAAGTCAATTTATTGGCTGTCTCCTGCAGCTTTGTGGAGGTGGTCCTGCACAAGTGCAACCTCATTGAATCCTGGCTGCTCCCATACTAATTGCTTGTAACGTTTGGAGACGGGATTTCCATATGCATGTGGCAAGTTGCTGGCTCCAGAGGGGGCAAACCCAGCCTCTGCTGGTAGATTGCGAGGTAGAAATGTGTAGTTCTGCTCAGAACTGCTGAGCTGGTTCTTAAGAAACTTTAGTTACAACTTGATGATTATAGCTGAAATTCAGGTTGGAGAGTTGTACTGTTTTTCGAATTACACTAATTACCTTTGCTTGGCCAAGCGAATGAGTTGTCTGCTGCAAACATGATCAATACTTTACTGCCTTTCTTCTCTATCCCTGCTCTGGAGCACTTGTGGTCTTTCATGTATTTAGTTCATGTAAATGAAGTGGAAGCCTTGGGCACAGGAGCTAAATAACTTTCTCGGGTTTGCACGGGATCCTGTAGCACAGCAAAGAATTGAAATGGATTCTTCTAATCCAAATCTAGTACTTCAGTCCCTGAATCAGGCTTTCCTTTCTTTGCTGTTTTTGTACAACCTCTTAATTATCATAGTTAAAACAAGGAGAGCAGTGGTTGCCAGGTCCCAGAGGAAGGCTGTGAAGACCCCTTCAGTATGAGGGTTACTGTGTGCATAGGAACAGCTTCCTGGAAGAGAGAAGCCATACTCAAATGGTCTTGTAACCTTTTTTTTTTTTTAGGCTAAAAGTTTTTCCAAAGGAAACATTGAGCTTTGGCCTGTAGTCTGTGTGTGTTGTTGGGGTCACAGTGGTTCTTCTCACTACTCTGTAGAGTGAGACCTATATTTCAGGGACTGTGTGCCTGATGTTGGGTCATTTACAGTTGTGAGATCCCAGAAGAAAGCAGTGCATTGCAAGGACAGAAGCTTTTACAGGTTTTGTCCATAGAAAAGGACCGATTTTTCCAGAAAACTTTTTCTTAGTCTGGGAAATCCTTTTATCAAGTGACTTTTGAAGTTGTACTCTAGCGTGTATTTTTGTTTTGAGTTCGTAGTTTTCGTTAGTCAGTAGTTTATCTGATCTTGTTATAGAAGTGAATTTTAGAGAACATTAAAGTTTGCTTTGAATAGTCATTCCCTTGTTGTGGTTGTGATGTGGTGGTGTTTAGAAAAACATTCCGCATCGTGCTTCTAAATGGTTTGATATATTTTATTGGCCAGCTAGCAGAAAGTAAAATATTTGAAAAATCACATATAAAAAATCCACACAGATTGATGTTTTAAAATGTGGGAACTATTGTGTTCTTGCAAAAAGACACCAGAAACCCCACTCAAGCCTGCCAGCTATAAAATCCTGCAAATGGTGCTCTTGTTTTCTCGGTTTGGAAGAATTTTTCTTCACCCAGTAAAAAGCACTTACTGTAAACTTTGGTGGGAAGCCATTAATACAGTCTAGCCTCTTAAAAGTGTCAGAAAAACGAGTCTCTCTTCAGTGGAGTACGAGGCAAAGTAAGCTGTGTAAGAGTACTCCAGGCATAACCTTACTGATGAAGTCATGGTTAGTGGTTTCATGCTGCTCTTTCTTCAGAGGCTGAGAGCTGATGGACTTGGTTAACAACTGAACAGCCACACCAGGTAGCAGTGCAATATGCATTTAGATACTTGGAGGAAATGTTTCTTTTCTGGAGTTGCAATTCATTTTTTATGCTATGGGAAAGAGAAAAGCTGCAGTATAGTTTTGTTTGATAAATGAAGCAGAAAACATTCTTCTGCAACAGTAGTTTCCCATAATACCACTACCTATGCAGGTCTTTCTTGCCTGAGTGCATGAAGTAATGTATCTGTGTCTGTTCTTGTACTTGATTTAGTTCCTTTCCATCTTAGCCTGCTAGGCTAATGCATAACCCTTATTTAATATCATGTTGTAATTCACTGAAAATATTCTGCAGGATTTGGAAGAGCATAGCTTGAGTATAGTTTTAAGAGAGCGGAACCCTGAGGTTCATCCACAGCTTGGTCTTTACTTGCTTGAACATACTTTTATAAATAACGTGCATGCAGAGGGGGATTTGTTGGAAGGACTGTATGGGTCTTTCTCTATAGATTGCCTAATCCTAATGAAACGCTGTAAGAATATGGTGTCAAAGAGGAGTCTGAGTGACTGGTGTTACCTGCTGAGTGATGGATTTTCTCTCTCTTGGCTGCACATTTTGGAGGAATCCATCTTGGTCTTGGGTACTTACGTAGCATCTCCTGCCATTTATGTGAGCACTGTTTCCTTGTAAGCAGAGCACTGTAGAGATGAGGAAAACTAAGTGGCTTCTCTAAGGTCTCTTTGAGCCCCAGCTGTTTGAGCCCCAGTTCTGGATCTGTGCTTTTGACTGCTCACCCACAATTCCTGCCTGATACCCACACCAATTGTACCTTCTCATGTGAGGGCAATGTGTTGCAGAGAGGGGGAGATGAAGGACCAAAGCAACACAGAAATCCAGGTGGTGAATTGCCTTGGTGGATCTGGTCCTAAGTGACATATCAGAGCAGGGAAATGACAATAAAAGAAAAAAACCCCACCTGGCTTGCTCTCTATTCCTTCTTTTTGATGTGTGATTTCTCGGGGAGCTCCCTGAACTGCAGATGGCAGCATGTGATGCTTGTTTGCTCTGAAGGAGGAGGAAAGTAGGTACTGATCTTCCTTCCTTTTGAAGTATTTCTACCTTTACCTGTTACGGCAGTTCCTTTCTTGACAAATGCATAAAGGAAAAGAAAGGGCAACATGAAATCCTGCTCATGTGAGGATGTTCAAGAGATCAGAATAAAATCTCTAATACCTGAGTGATTGGAGTGCATTATCTACAGCAGATTTTTAGCAAACCATATAGGTATTTCTGCCACCCTAGCGTCATGAAGGGAAGCTGATCGTTTTCACGTTCACAGGTTCTGCAAAAAGAGCAAACAGTGATTTAGGCGTTTTGGATTTCCTTTTTGTGTCTGTAATGCAGAAACAAGCTAGGTTTAAAACCAGTTGTCCAACTGTCATTGTCACGTGTCTCTGCAGAAGCTCTGCTATGCAAAACACTAGTCCTGCAAAAAGTTAGTAGCTCTGCACCATTGTGTCAGGTGCTTAATCATGCTCCTGATCTTGTGTTTTGTTCTTCAGTCATGGGTAATGTCTTTGTCAGGGGTTCATTTGTAGCTTTCACATGGCAAATCATGTATTCCTGCTCCTACTGCTGAAGATGTGTAGCAATGTGTATAACAGTTTCAGCTGTATATTTGGACTGAGGAACACTCTGAAAGTAGGCATCTCCTTAGGGATCAGCACTCTTGTTTCCCTAAATCCTAAAGTTGGCCAATATAGCTTCCTCTGGTTTGTCAAGGCACAAAGGGCTTGGTGGCTCTTAATGACTACCAGCTCCTTCCAGCCTCAGGAGTGCTGTAGCAATGTACTGCTCCTATAGGGTTACTAGCATTAAGTCAGCTTATAGCTCCTCCCTGTGTCTCACCTTTATATTACTTTTGGTGGATAAGACTCCTTTAGCATCTTGCAAATCAAGTTAAATCAGCTACTCTTCACTGTGGGAGGCTCTTGTAATTAACAAATTCCTTTTGAGAACAACAAGATTTTTTTCTTGTTTTGAAATTTGTCATTATGTGGTTTTTGAGCTTCAGCAGTTGATGCTAGACAAAGAAAGATTGCCATATGTGTCAGTGCTAAGGGATGTTTTTACCACAAGTGGCAATGAGCAGGCAAATGAGTATGTAATATAATGAATTGGTATGTTAATTAAGGACAGCAGTGACAATCCCTGATTGTGCAGGGATTGTACTCTCTGTTTTTTTTGTGTGTATGAGTGTGTATGTTTTCTTACGAAACCCTATGAAAATACTGAAGCATTACACTGGAAAAGGGGAGCGGCTTTCTTCCTTACTTCATAAGAATGGCTAAACTGGATCAAATTTTGAAGGTTCCTCTAGCTCCATCCAGCTGTGGCAGCTGTCAAAAATGGATGCCCAGGGGAAAGGGCAGAGCAAACACAGAATGATGCTTTCAGGGAGGTATTCTTTCAGCCTCCAGTAATTTACTTCTCAGACTTCCCAAACCAGAGAGGTTATCTTGGTATTTCATAAGCTTCCATGAACTCCTGTTCCATAAATCCAGTTCCTCCTTGAGCCTGTGTAACTCTGTGTTCAGTGTCCCATGGCCAGAAATTTCACAGCTTTACTGTACGTGTGAAGAACATCTCTTTAACTTGTTTTGACTCACATGCTTGCTAACTTTGGCTCACAGTTCTTGTATTGAATGTTGTGCAAACAAATTATTCCCTATTCACCCATTCCATAGCACTCATGGTTTTAAAGAGTTTTCTCATATCTGTTCTCAGTCAGCATCTTGGCCTATGTTGTCAGTTCTTACAATGAAGCTGTTCTGTACTTGTCCTTTCTCTTTTTTTTCCCAAGTCTTCTATAACCTTTTTGGGACTGAAGAAATAAAATAACACTGTGAATTTGACATGTGGGATCACAGTGGATATAGACAACTATATAATGTTGCTCCCTCTGTTCTGTTGAGTTTCCTTTCTAGGTTTTTTACATTCAGTTTGCTTTTGGGTGCATATGAGAACCAAGTGTGATGTTGTCATGAAAATCTTAAGATTGCGTTCCTGAGTCTAGCGTTCAGCTCCAAACCCATTGCTATGTCAGTAAAGTTAGGATTATTTTTTCCCTCGTGTGCATCCTTTTTCATTTTTTCTAGAAGAATTTTATCTGTCACTTTAAAGCTTGGACTCATTAGGTTCTGCAATCCTTCACGATCTGCCTGAATTCGTTACTACTGACTAATGTCACATCAACACCAAATTTTCTGTCACTGTCTCATTGTCTGTGTGTCATTTTGAGTTGGTTGAACAGCAACTCTTTAGCACAGAGCCTTCATGTGAAACCACTGCTTGTTCCTACCCTCTGGTTCTTGTCTGCTAGGCACTTGTCATTGATTCAGGGGCCTTCTGTCTCCCTCCACCACAGTGGCTTAATTTCTTTGTGCTAGTTGAATCCCACTGGGAAGTCTAAATGTCCTGCATTGGTTGAATCTACCTTAATCACTTGCTTGTTTTTGCCTTTGGAGAACTCCAATAGCTTTTTGAGCAGGACTTCCTTTTACACCAACTGTTGGTTCTTCCCCAGTATGTTTATTGTTGTGCCCCATAATTATGTTCTTTATTATAGCTTTGACTTAGTACACAGCTGAGGCTTACTGGTGAGAACCTTTTTTAATAATAATTTCCTCTGTGTTTCCTCAGTGGTTTACAGTTCTGTAGTACCTGTCTCATGGCTGTCAGGTACCATTTGCTGGTGTGAAGGAATATGGATCAGAGCGTTCCTGAGAATTAAATAGCCCATGCAGTCTGGTATGCAGTGTGGTGTACTGCATTATCTCTGCCTGTTCTCTGGTGCTCAGAGATTTGCAGCAGGCTGTGAAACTCCTATCTCTAAATTCCAGTTTCATTCAGGAGTTAAGTGACCCAGAGTGTTTACTAATTTATAGCATGTTTGGTGGCTCATAAAAAATGAATAGGTGAATTGGAGTCCTGTTATAGTGCGGATGGTATTTACCTGGTTTTGCCTTTGTTAATCTCCAAGAGGCCATTATTGGCCTTGATCTCAACTCTTCTTTTTTTTTTTTGAAGTAGTTCCTGTAGATCAGAACAGGACAACATACGGAAGACGCTTACCCTTTACCTCCTGTCCTTTATTGGTTATTGATAAAGACTGTAGTCTCCACTGTCTTCCATTAATCTTAGCCTCGATTAAAAATCTTGCTCTCCAAGGAGGCAGCAGTTTCTGGAACTGAATGGGTAAATGCATTGAGTAGTGCAGTGTGTTATTCTTAACTGTTTTCTTCTTTCCAGATAACCAAATTAGGTTTGTAAAATCAGCGTTGTGGTACCATGGCTATGGCAGGCCAGAACTCTATCGACTCCCCTCTGACGGCTCAGCGGGTAGTCGGGAGCTGCTGCTGGCGTTTTCCTGGCTGCTGCACAGACTTGGCCTCTTGGAGCAGCTTTTGGCTTGGAACAGAGTAAAGACTGGGGATGAAACCTCTGTGTGCACGGTGAGCATGTTTGTGTCATTCCATCTTATCCGTCCATAAGTAACGTTCTGTGACAGCAGCCGTCTTATCACTAGTGTGTAATGTGTGGTATCTTGGTACCTATACAAATTAGTGCCTTCTTCCAGCTTTAAAAAAAGTTAGAGACAACATCTGGAACCTGTTTTCTTTCCTTTCTCTAAACTTTCTGTGTGCAGGTGATCTGGGTTCCTTCTCTTTCTCAAACTCCCACCCCTGCCTGAATTCCCTGATTTTCATTTCCAGCATAGGTGGGACCAGTGTGGAGGAATGCACATACGTGGATGGATTTGGTCTCTGTGCTTGAGTTTTGTGCTTCCAGACTGTATCATGAATGGTTCTACAGTGTAGGCAAACAGGTTAGCTGTGAATGTTGGCACTGGGCAGAGCAAGTAATCCCAAGGCAAATAGTACTTTTTAAAAACGTCAAGATCCCAAATGGCAGCTACTGCTGTTGGGGTAACTAATGACCTTGTAGCCTCCTTGAGAAAACAGTGGGGTATACTGTTGTGTTTCCATCAATAAAAAGGTGTTAGCACATAAAAAGCCTGCTTTGAATTAAGCTAAGGATAGCTGTGTGTCTGCTTTAGCTGTGATATATATGTGTGATCAAAAAAAGAGGCAAAAAGCCCCACAAAACCACAGTCTAATAATATTTAGTGATACTGCTTTTAAAATCCATTCCTTACATTTAAGACTGCGTGCACATGTTACTGTATAAACAGTCGCTCTAGAGCGTACAGTTAGAAGCTCAGGAGAGAAGATGTTTTTTCCATATTTATATCTTGTTTGTAGCAAATAAACTATCCCTGCTCTTAACACAACAGGTAACGTAGGCTGAATTTAAACTGATCAGTGCAGTGCGTTGGTGTGGCTGAGGCCTCTCTGGATGGTTGTAAGTTTGTTCTAAGTCGTCTTCATCAGGTCAGACATTAATTGCTGGTCAGTCTGGTTCAAAAGTGACAGACTTAGAGAATTCTCATGTTTTGGCAAAGGACATTGTGGGTCAGAAACCCTACCTGCTGATATCTTGTAGTGTCTAAGACCTGGTGGTCTTCATGATCCCATATACATAGTCCCGTAGACTGGAGGCTGCCTGGTTTTCTAGAATCTTTTTAAGTGACAGCAAAGCAGGAAAGCGAGAGTTTGGAAAGCTATGATATAGATACAATGTCTTCAGAAGAAAAACACTTGTACAAATGGAAAAGAGTTCAAAGGGAAGAGTCACCTTTGTAACAACATTACTAACTATTTTGAGGAAACAGACCACTTGTGCTACACTACAATTGCTTGCTGCGCTGAAAAGGCCTATGCTTGGTGCATGGGGTGTGAGTGGTGGTGCCCTCCAGCAATGTGGAGGGTGCCTGGAGACTTTAGGAAAAACATGCTTCTGGAGAATTTACTTTAAACTTCTCTTACCTTTTTCTTGTTTGGTAGCAGATTATTTTTTTTGTGTCCTTAATTCTGTTACAAAAGAGTGATGAGTGAAGTGTAGCAGTGATATGAATTCAGGAAATAGGGCAGTGCCTATGTTGTTTTTCTCTGAAGGCCTTTGGAAAATGCAAAACTTGGGAGACGAAAGAACTATGGTAATAAAATGTTATCTCTTACAGCCACACTGACAACCTTACTGCTGTGCCTTTCACTGCAATTCTAACCTGCTCAAAACACATGGAATACATATTTCATGCTTTTATGCAATAACCATCCAAAACAGTGTTTGGAAAGGTTTACAGGTCTGGAAAATTTTTTTCAATAGGCCAGACAAAAATTTTGTAGACTTGGAGTTAGCATGTGTATGTAAAGTTCATTGCATTAATGGCAACTTTTCTTTTACGGTATTCATCTAGCAAGTTTTCATGCTCCAACACATGGGGAAAAAAAATGATAGAATGTAGTTACAGCTTAACTAGTGTGTTTTGTGATTCTACCTCACAAGAAAGTTAAAAGAGAATTTTGAGGGAGAGGTTTTAGCTTTTCTTTGATCAACTAGGCATTACAAAACCGATAAATTCAACCAGTAAGAGCCAACCAAATTAAGATCTAGGAATGCGCAATTAAGGATGTACGGAGGTAATGGTGGGTGGGAAGAAGATAGGTGGGTCACACACCTCATTTTGGTTAGTAAGTCAGTTTCTTGTAAACCACTCATGAAAGCCTGTTGTTTGTTGCATAAAAGTGTGATAGTTTGTTATTGTTATATATTGTTGTTTGATATTTTTATTGGATACTTTCATGTGGCAAAGTCTACTCATCAGTGCTCAACAATATAGCCCCTTAAAATCATAGTAAGAAAGGAAGAAGGTGAGGGTGTGTCGGTTTGATACTTAACATCTTGTGAGTTAAAGTACAACTTGAACAATTGAAATACTGGAATTTTGACTCTGGGCATGTTAAATACCAGGCATTTGTGATACTTAAGCTGAAGTGTTGGAAGATGTGTAACAAATTGTAAAGGCGTTTCTAAATGTGCCAGAGATGTAGTCTCTGCAGTCAGTTGAAGGAAAAAGGTAAAACAAGAAGAAAAAAAACTTCACTATAGAAAGATCTGTCTCAAAAAAGAAGAAAGAAAAGGAAATGCTCTTTAAAACAACTGAAATTCTCAGCTGAGGAGCTTGAAAAATCTTCTACTATATGGAGTCTTTTTTTTTTTTTAAATGATTATAAACAATTGAAAATATTTTCCTGAAATGAAAATGTTGCAAAACAAAAATCCATGAAATAGGATTTGGTTCAGTGCATTGCTGAGATCTCTGCCAGAATCAGCAAAGCATGAAAGCCAGTACTTACTGGCAAAGCACATCTGTTGGTCTACTAGTGAGAATAAATGTGAAGAAAATCCTTACCCTTTGTCTTCATCTAAGAAAAATGGAGTCTCAAGAACTGTAGGCATAGTTGTAGTTCAAACTGATGTTCATATGGCTTGCTTTTAAAATTTTGACTGAAATCCACGCAAAAGTAGACAGGGATCTGTTTTATGAAGAAGAGAGAATGCAGCTAATACCTAAATTAAGGGTGCAATCATGTTCTGACTATTCTTTCAGCCTAAGTTTGAGACAAAGCCTACGGCCTGGTAAATTGCTGATAATATGCCAAATACCCAACATATCAAGGGCCAATTAAATTAATTCCTTTCATTTCATTTCAGATTACCACTCTCTGGCCTTTTCTTCTTTGCAGTTCCTTAGCAACACAGTTTTCTTCCCCTGCAAATTGAACACTTCCATCAGCTCTAAAGGATTTCAGGCTGGTTATTTATAGAGGGACAAGGGTATTCGTGACACATGATGGACATGGAGCTCAGTCTCTGCAAGGAATTCATAATCTTAAGATCCTGAGCTGGGGAAGGCGTCCACAAGCTTAATTTTACATGCACTTAGATCTTCAGAATTAAAAGTTAAGTGATTCTTAAAATTATAAACTAAACAGTGGTGAAAGCGTGAGGAAAGGCTTAAGGTGATAGGAGGCTTAATGTGGCTAGTGTAATTAAAAAAAAAAAAACAATCTTGAGGTAGTTGTTGGTAAGGACAGGTGTGGTTAGTAGCCTAGCATGGTTGTATGGGTTGAGTGCTTTTGTATGTGAGGTAAGAAAATCCTTCAGGGCACCTTGTCTCATGTGGCCTCAGTTCATTTTTTTTTTTTTTTTTTTTTTTTTTTGTGCTGCAGTCTCTCTCCTGAGCCAGGGTACTACGTACTTGCTGCAGGATGCCCCAGTGAGCAGCAGGACTGAAGGAGCTGCTGCCCTCTCTAGCCTTCCACTCATGGCTCTCTTCCAGTATGTGAAGTTAACCATACAGGGGTGACAGTTGAAAGAATGGAGCCCATGTTGCTGTGCAGGAGGAACAAGAGAGGAAAGAGGAGATGGATGGTGAATGTCAAGCTCTAGTACTTGGCTGTTGTAGTGCAAGTCCGTTCTCTGAATTTACTGTGCTGATCTGTCAGCAGGTTGGTGACGCCAGAAGCACTAAGTGAAAGTTTAAACCTTGCATTGGTCAACTCTTTAAAAAAAGTAATTGCTAATTCTATTAGATCTATAAAGACTTAAGTACAATCTGAATTGGAAGTTCACGTCGATTTACTGAAGTGTCTACTTGGGAATTCTTGCCTGTTGTTATTGCGTTAAAGCACTGGGTGATTAATTGATGGACGTTGTCTTTAAAGACTTTAAACCCCTTGTGTATTCCCATCTCAAATGTGCACTGCTGTGATGTGGTCTTAACATCTTTTGTTGCTTTGGTGATCGTGTACATGCAGATTATTCTCAAGTGCTGTTCATTGATTCCTGTTTACACATGAAAATCCTAGAGTACAAAACACATCTGAGTACCAGTAGGTGAAATGCTGTCCTTCACTGAACCTGGAAGGCAGACCTGGGGAGTTTTCCATTCTCTCTCTCTCTCTCTCTCTGAAGCAGATAATTGTTTGATATAAACCTGCCTTTTTAGCACATTCAGTATTTGACTAATTTTTTTTGCTTCACTTCTTAAATTTCAGTGACATGATCACAGCTTTCTCTAGATCCACGATGGTTTGTGCAGATAATAGCAGTACTCTGTGAGCATGTATTCCTTCTGTTTCCAGGAGTAATACTGCCTGTACTGGTATTATTTCTACAGCTGAAATTAATCTATGTATGCCCCTAATTTAATTATGTGTGGAGGCTGTTGAGCTTTTTAGAAGGGGGTAGTGATGTTATAGCCCTCATTATCACCAGGATATGCTGTACAAACACTGGTTCTTGGTTCCACTAATTCCTCTGCCTGCTTCTTGCCCTCTGAGTGAAATTGGACGCCCCTCCCCTTTTGTGAATTTATAGTAATCAACAAATAGAGCTATTATGGCTATTATAGTTGGAATTAATGTGTGTGTCTCTAGCATGCCAAAGTGAACTCAGTTTAATTACTTCTGGTGGGGAAAAATGAAGCTAAACATGCCTTCTGACTCTGAGATTTGCAATTTGATTAATCTTTTGTTTGTCATGGTCT